ATTGTCTGCAATACTTAATTGCTCTAAATAGAGTATATTGTTTTTTCGAAATTGTTTTCTGAAAGTATAATATTTGGAATATTGACTGAGTATTAGTTTTAGTAGTTAATATCCATTATGAAAAGTATTAGGCCACAGGACATTAGAGTTAGTTAGAATTGATATGCCAAGGTATTATAAAAGTTGTATGATTTTGAAGTTAAGTGTAAGTTTGTTAGGTCTATCTATTAGTGTTTGACTGTGCTAAAGAATGTTAATAGCAGACCAAAGATTGTTTTGAAGTTGTTGTAAACAGATTTTGGTAGAAATACCAAGAATTTCAGGATTATTAATTCTTTGTTAAAAACAGGATATATGATGTTATAGTTGGATATTTCAGATATTATATATATTATATATATAGAGGTTAAGCATAGTGATGTTAGAACTGGTATGAGAAAGTTTAGCTTTATGTTTAATTATACTAAAATATTTGGATAGAATGCTATCACAAGTAGAATGTTTAAGAATAATATTATGTAATCTGTATTTAATAGTGGGAATGATTACAGTATTAGTAATATAGATAGCTTGTTTGTCTGTAATTTTTTTTGTGTCAGTGACATTGATGAGCTAGATTGCTTCATCATAAATTAGTTGGTTTTGTTTTGTATATGAATTATTAAGAGTGAACCAACATCCTAAAAATTTGAATAGTTGATTGGCAGGAATTGGTATAAATGATGAGCTAAAGAAGTAGATAGAAGCAGTAGATAATGTGTTTAATGTAAAAATTAATTTAGTTGGATTAATTTGAATGTCTGTCATATGATAAAAAGAGGTAGTTGTGACAATAATTGATTGTAATTCTTTTTTAAATTTTGCTATCCAAAGTGTATCATCCATATATGCTAATACAGATACTGAGGTTTGAAGTTGTTGAGGTTTTGGTTAGAGCAAACTAGTATTTTATTTTGTAATCAAAGTGTATCCTGAAAAGTCTAAAGCTATTTTATTTATAAGAGGGTCATAATAAATTCTTCAGAACAGTAAGGTTATAGTTTCTTCTTGATCAATACTATTTTTAATATTGTAGAAGTTGATAAAACCTAAATTTGTAATGCCTTAGTTTTGTTGATTGGTAAATAAATTAGTAAGAATATTGATAAAATTAGGTGACATATATAGGTGTAATAAAGATTTAATAAAGAGTGTAAGGTCTATAGAATCATAAGCTTTGCTTATATTCTAAGATAAAATCCAAAGTTGTTTGGAGTTACAGGAAGTTTTTTCAATAATATTATTAAGTATATGTATAGGAATAGTAGTACTGTTATCAGGTAAAACTATATAGTTAAAAGATAACAAAATTTTGTAATGGGTAAAGATATGGTTAAGTCAGTTGGTAAGAAGTTTGGTATAGAGTTTTTTAATGTATTCAAGTAAACTAATAGGTCTGATATTAGTTAAATTGTTATCAAAAATAGGTTTTTTAGAGATAGAAAAAATTTTTCTTTCTTTCTATTAGTTTGAGATTTGACCAAATATAAAATAGTGATTAAGAAGAGCTGTAATTATATTAAGAAATATTGTTCCAACATGTTTGATCATCTCATAACTAATGCCTGATAGTCCACATGCTTTGTTATTAGAAAGTTGATTGATAATTTCAAGAACTTCGATAGAAGAGAATTCCTTAAATGCTAGTTGATACTATGTAGGATCGATGTTTGGTTTAGATTAATATTCTTGTTACCACATTGTGTTGAATAATTGTAATTGGATGTTTCTAGGAGCTGTCCAATCATCAAAGTGTTGTTGGATGTGTTGTTTGATAAGTGATGATTCAGTAATAATGTTGTTTGATTTCTTAATGTTGTCAAACTTGACAGGATCTTTGTGTTGATTGAGTATACTATTGATCATTGATGTTAGACTATTTTAAATCTTAGTACATCTTTTAACTATGTTATCATTAATTTGTTCTCTTATGTTTTTAACATTTTCTAGATTGCATACATAATAAAGTATTTTTTACTCTGTGTTGACTGCAGTTATTCAGTCAGGTAGAAGGTTAAGATCTTGGAACAATGTAGGTATATTGAGATAATGAAGAGAGTTAAGTTGATCAATATTTTGATTGTGAAGTATTGGCACAGAGGTATGATTGTGAGATGCTGCTTTAATTGTTAGCTTGTAATTAGTTAGATAATCATGCATATTATATTAATATTAATGTATATCACATCTGAAGTAGCGATTTATCTAAAGTAGTCACTTTATATATCTAAAGTAGCATCCTGACTAAAATTAAAATCTAATGCATGCATGAAGATCTAATTTCAGGGGCTTAATTTTAACCAGGTGCTATTTCAAATAAATTGCTAATTCAGATGCGACATATACATTTCAATTGCTTTTTTATTAAACAGTTTGTACTACTATAAGTATAGATTTGTACTACTTGTATAAATATAAATTTGTACTATATGCAAAAGTGTGATACAATCATGTGTAGATATACGTATATATTATAAATATGATTATATCGAAATATGATATAAGGGGTTCACTCTTCTTCAAGTGTCCCGTATCTACTATTACTATGACTATATTTCTCTATTCACTTGAATATAACACTATCAATCCTGCAAAACCACGGCTGGGACCTTCCTTTTGAACATCAAACCGGAATACAATAACCTAAACTGTCCACAGTACGTTGGGAGAGTTGGAAAACAACCACGGTAGTCCTCAGTACATCGAGAATCAACCAAACAAGGTATACGGTATACTTTACGATATCACGTGAGCAAGATTACAAGAGTGACGATCGTACCAGTTATACCACTTAAGCAGTAGATCGAAATGAAAATGTTTATTTATAACGTAGGCGAATGTGTAATTATAAAGGAGACGGATTTATTTGAATCATGAACTTGACTTCTTTTCTCTAGGGCGAAACGCCTTTATTATACTTTCATTTACTTAGTACGCATTATACATCTTATCCGTGATATATTACTTACGTATTATACTGCATATACTAAATATTTAATGTTTACTAATGTGAGCGGTAGGATGGTAACGTCGGAAGCTCGTTGAAGCAGGTGATCGGTGTGGCGCAGTAACGAATTAACGGCTATGTCGATCACCTACCTAAAATGGGTTTACCGGCAATATACTCTGTATTCGCTGTATACTACGTATCTTATGCATCGGGTTAATAATGGATATCAGCGCAATAAGGGGAATCAGTGGGATATAGTATATAGTTAAAATAATCACTATAAACATTATCATCAGTGTAATTAGTATATATGTTATAAGTAATATAAGCGATATATCACGAATAGAATGTATAACGCACCCTATGTAAAAGAAAGTATATAATAAAGGCTTCGAGCCCTACGAAGAAGACGTTCGTTGTTCGTGACCCACATAAAATTCTGTCCCCAATAATAAAATCTTGCTATAATACCTACGATCATAAATAACCCCACTCGCGACATATCCCTTTATTACGCTGACAACCCGATGCAGTGATACAGTGTATACTGCCGGTAAACCCTTTTTTTGGTAAAAGATTGACACACCCGTTCTGTGCCACATCGATCACCATATCCCACGTGCTTCCGAGGTTACCATTCTGCAACTCACAATAGATTATATGGTCATCGGGTTTTTAATTATATTTGCACGAATATAATTGATTAAACCAGATGACAGATTTTTCCAAAATGGCGTTCTGTAAATAAACTGGTCAAAGAATATAATTGAAAGTCCGATGACAGGTTTTCCCTTGACAGCACTCATATAGTAACAAATCAAATTTAGGCTAAATCATTCTATTCGGTGGTTTACCTTCCGAAAAGAAATAAAGTACGAGCAAGGCTAAGACAAAAATTCACGGTAACTTTCGAAGGTTAATCAAAGGTGATCGACTTTGACTTAGTCACAAGCCGATTTTTAATTATTGACCTAGTCAAGTCGATAATGGTCAACTACAAACACTTTCCGAGCCAGTCTCAACTTTTTCAACGAATACAACCGTGATACCTTAAATCGGATGTTATTTACCTGACGGGCCACTTATCCGACGTCACATAGGGTTAGGGTTAGCATTGGATTAGCTGCAGGTATATATTTTAGCAATTTGTCACCCTTGTGATGTCGGATAAGTGGCCTGTCGGAGTAAATAACTTTCTGGGAATCGTACCGTAACCCTTTAATCAACCTTTGTAAAATTTCTTATCAGTTTTTATATAAATTTCATAATTAAGTTCTTATTAACTATCATCTTTAATTTAATTTCAACAACCGCAATGTTTCGGCTGTAAAATTTCGTTTATACGTTCAAATGTTCAAAAGCGCTTTATGTTACCGAAATAAAGTAATTTTGACCTTTTTGAAGTATTTGGTAATTAATTAATGATTAATTAATCATAATTAATTTGAAAGTCTGATCTTTCTATTATTTTATTCATTCATTTATGATCCAAGCTTTTGTATCAACGCCAAGCTTAAAAATAAACGTTTTATACGTTTGAAATTATTAGAATCGTTTCCAAAATAGATATAATCATCGGAAAGCGAGCTATTTGGTGTAGGACAATTGAACATTATCCTCAGCTAATATTCCTAGCGCATAATAAGGCATTTGTTGAACTCCTGTTTGATGGACTAATATTACTACGTATGCGAAATGACTATCGTTTTACTATTATAATAATGTTGATTCTACATAGCATAAAAAAAAAAAATTTTGAAAATGAAAAATGAAAATGTAAAAAAGCATGAAAATATAAATTAATTTTGAAAGTTCTCTCTATGTCCTTTTGCGCCACTCCTATTTTTGACCACTTGCTAGCGCCATAATCTTTTTTGAATCGGTATCCTGTGGCAGTTGTATACCCTTCCTTTGACAGGAGAAAATTTGTAAATATAGATAATTTGAGATCTTAAAAAATATCATACTGAAACAAAGCTGTATGATTAGTTGCCATAGATTCGATTCAAAAATGGTCGTTAATTTCAAGAAAGGATTCGAAAAAAAGGTAAAAACTCTAAATCATAATGCTGGCAGAAATATTATTGTAAATCAAATTTTCAACATTAATGTAATTTTCAACTTTTATCAAGTGGAAACAAATAACAGCCTCTAAATATACGAAGCTCCTTATTCTTACATCGATCTTACAATGCATAATAATGATTATTTTTCAAGCGATATTACTAAAACGAAATTTAAAATTGACCAATGCTTGGGCTGTTCATAGTTATGCAAATATTACGAATAATTGTAAAGACCATTATGAACGAGAATTTCCGCGGTTTCCTTTCATCTATTTCGATAACATTATTTTAATCATCTTCCAAGTTTTTCAATTATATTTTTGTTTCAACGCAGCAAGTATTATAATATTCATAATTATTATAAATTATATTTTTGGCATTTTAAAAAACTAATGAAAATTGATATAGGTATTTAACGAACACTCCCTTCAAGTTATAACAATTACAATTCTCAACCTTACATGGGCAGCTTATGGAATTGTAATCTTATTTATTCTATTAAGGTCAAACATTATAATTCTTACAGATTATTGATTTAATATTTTTAATGCAGGGTCAAGCCTATGAAGTTTTTAGTACAATAAAAGAAATCCAAGCTTTACTTGAATGCGTTTCTGAAGAGACTGAAGAGAAACTTTTAAATAATGACTTAGTAGAAGTGATCAATACATACCGTCATCATATCAATATGGAAGAAATGGCATGTGTCGCATTACTACTACTTTTTGCAGTAGGAATGGCTTATATTGCATATAACTTGTACCAACAATTTGGTTGGAACAATTACAAGAAAATTGGGGGCGATCCAAAATTACAATGTATGTACACGATACTTTTTTTTGTACAGTACATTATTAGTTAAAAGGCTGACAAGTTATTGGCCTGATTACCCGGCAATTACAAGCAATCTTTCAATTATATTAACATTGTTTTTTCACAGGCGCATATAAAAATTATCTTACCTTTTTAATGTTGTTGAAGCTCAATTTATCTTCCATATTACTATTCATTATTCCAACATTGTTTCTCGTTTGGTTCGATAGTTGTTATAATAGTACAACAATCCAAAGTATCTTAATAATTCACCTTTCCATAACTGCATTTGTACCTTTGTTGGAAGTAATCGCTTATAAATCTGTATGTATACATATTTTAAAATACTGTTTATTAACTTTTCATTTCATACTAATTGACTACAATCCATAATCATAGGCAGCAAAAGAGAATAGAATTGGAATGATAATATTCTTGATATCATGGGTAATAGTAACTATAGATCTTGTAGTATTATTTGTTGGAGTATCTATCAAGCTTCGTTCGATTGATAGTTTTTGGTATTCCGGAATTACTCTTAGTAAGATTTTTTTTTTTTCATTAATCACGCACTTATATAAATTCATAGTTAATGCTAGTTAATGGTACATTAACAATTGATTTTGTTTTTTTTCCTAGTCATATCATTGTTCATAAGTTGTGTGGTACGAATCATTCTTACTTTGTCTTACTCGTACAACATAATTACAACAATTTACCTATTTATTTATTTGTTTATCAGCTGTTGATAATATATGGAATAAAAGTTCTCAATAATTTTGGGCATAATTTAAATAAAATCAGTAAGTATTTCTTATTAGATAAATTAATATTATGTCTTTATTTATTTATTTTTTTTAAAAAAAAAAAAATTAGTCGACAAAAGATTAAATCGGGAAGAAGTAATACCCCCCTCACCTAATATATCGTTGCCATTAGCGATAATGCCTATAAATAGCATTTTGGATAGATCAGAGAAAGAGGACACATTAGATAACAGATGGACTATCGATGACTAGCAACATTCAAAAACCTAAAATTTAACGAATATTAATTATGTCTCATGACATTACAATATTCAAAATTTAAAAATTTAACGAATATTTATTATGGCTCATGACATTTATATATTTGTACTATTCTATAAAAGATGTAATATAATTAATTTAAAAACATTTATTATCAATTTGGTTTTTATATAGATCTTTAATGTTAAATAAAGCTATTCAATTATGGTGTACCTGAGTATAATATAAAATCATTCTCAAAAAATATTAGGGGTACTTTACAGGGAGTACTTTAAGAACGTTTTATGGTATCATAAGTATACTTGTTGGCCATATCCCAAACTACTATAGTTTGAGTTTGTCCGCGCCCAAATCCCAAACTCTGGCAAATTAATATCTAAAAAATTTTATTCCTAATTTTCATTTAAATAAACAGTATATATTCTTATGGTCATGTATAATATATTTGGAAATTTTAAAGATTATTTTTTTGATTCAATTTTTTATAAATGCTATTTATTTTTTTAGAATTTGGGATTTGTCTGGATTTGTCCAGTATGTATAAAAATCGAGAACTACGTGTATATCAATAAGAATCTTCAAAACAACCCAATGAGCGGAGTGGAATATCATAGTCGTGACAGAAAGATTTTGTGATACATGCCTTACGTTCAATTAAATTTCGAAATCGAACGAGATATTCGAAATGTTAGGGTGATTTAGAATTATTGAACAGATTCTGATTCGAATAAAATTATTTGCTTCGAAATAAATAACCTATAAATTCTTCTTTTTTTTTTTTTATAATGAAAAATATTCCTATTTCGTACAGTTTTAAATTCTGTATCACCCTATTATATCAAATCTAGTAAACATAGAAATTGGACCAATGATTTTTTTAATGACGGATTATATCAATCCCGGACCATGTAAAGCAAGACAGATGGTACCTCTTAAATTTGTGATCGCGAAATTTTTCTGCCATATACCCGGCATATACCGTGGGACAGTTGATTAACTAATTAAATAAAACCTATTAGGAAGTTTTCAGAATTAACTTATTTCGAAAATAAGTGGAGTTCAAAAGATCTTAATTTTTGGTTTTAAAATTCCGAATTAGAAATTAAATAGTCGTAGCCAGAGAACCTGAAATGCCAAAGCAAGGATGGTAAATGACAAATGACTAGTCATTGGGTCACTTCGAGGCCTAAATGGCTTAGAAGGTCATTTAACATGTAATTAATATTCTAATACCATTTAACCAATTAGAATTGGCCTCCAAAAACATCAATTAGGAAAGTAAGTTCGATAATTTTTATGAGCAATTTGACCAATACAATTATTCTATATGCAAATGACCTGAATGACCTTAATGACCCAAATGACCAGGTCATTTACCATCCCTGTGCCAAAGTGTCTAAATATAAAATTATATTCATGTAATCTAATTAGCCAACAATTTTAATAATATTCTCGAAAAAAAATCATTATTATACTTATATTGTGTGGCATGCCAAGGCGGCATCCTGGCATGTTATTTGCTAAGTGACATGCTATATGGAATTCCAAATTATTTTAGGCGTGCCAGGCTTCCTAGTCGTAGCTGATGATAAAGTTGGCTTCTTTTGATAAATATCTACCGGTAAGTGAATATATAAAATAAAAATTTATACATCACTTATCGAATTATTCATTCTGAAGCCCTCCATTTGTAGACCTTTGCATTTTAGTATAATATAATAAATACAATTGGCCAATTGATTACTGTATCGTTATGCAAAAATTTACGTATGTATAATTTTGACCGATTTATTATACTGATATGATCAGTTTAAACTATGCATATTTTATAGATCAATGGCAAAGGTATTGTCATAATATTTAACAAATTTAAAAAGAATTGGTTTACTATGAAAACGATTTAACTTAACAAAATCAAGAGATTTTAATACTGACGAACTTTTACTTACCAGAAGTTATTAAACAGATTGATAATACTAATCTTACTAATTTATCATTTTAGCTGATGGTTAATTGCAAGTTAATAAGTTAATGCATAATAATATAAAACGTCCAAATTTACTTGAAAATATGAAAGTAAATTAGATTTATAATTTGATCAGTAAAAAATTTGATATATATTATATAAAAAATTTACGTATTTTATAATAATTTTAGCATAAATAATACAATTAATTTCTAATTTTTTGAATGATTCTTGTAATTTGATTCGTAAAATATTAATTATTTTGATTTTAATTTTTATAATAATTTTTATAATCATAAATATCACCAAACAAAAAATAATTAAAAAATAGAGGGAGGCATTATTTACTAAAAACTGTTCGATGGAATACGTCACCAAAAACATCCAAAATTGCTAAGGACATTGCAACAAGCAAAAACAAAATTCATAACTTTGTAGTTCTAGATAATATCATGAATTTTTGGTTATTTATTGAAGAATAGCATGAACATGCCGCCACACAAATTATCAGTACGTATCGAAAATACAAATTACCAATAAATGTTTTGGCACATTGTGGCATCGGTGACGATCATTACTAAATTTTACAAACTTAAATATACGAAGTGGCACGGATTTTAATTGCACTTGATAATCAATGTTCCAGTCCTGAGACGTTACAATTTTATTACGTACTAATACCCTGTGATCTTGATATGGTGATCAGGATATTAATAATTCTAAATTTCAGCTTTAGCTAATTTCACAATTAAAGATGTTACATCAATTAATAATTTTAAGCATCATTTTAACCAAGAGAAGCTAGAAAATCAATTGGTCAATTCTAATTTCGGAGTGAATACAACGATCGTTCTTTTAGGAAAACACTTAATGTGACTTGAAGCATAAAATGACGTTCTTTTTATCTTTTTTACCCATATGAACCGAACGTGCGCATGTATGTATGTACAATACGTATGATGGTCTAATAGGACGCATTTAGTTTTTTTCTTTTCAAACATTGGTGCATTTCCAGGCAAGTGTGTATTATTTGTCCACGTGACTTATCTTGCATGACAAATTTAATTAACTCTGATCCTATTACAATCTCGCCAATCATTATGCCATGTGTGCCTTTCATCTAAATAAAGACATATTATGTAGTACTAATATATAATAAACATCTAAAATCAAATTAAGAGCTTGATCTTGCGTAAAGATGTTTTCCTTCCTATCAAGTATAAATAATCGTTTTCCATCTATCGCTATAAAACCGTTATCACGAGTCTCCAAGACATCTAACAATTAAATTGTGTTAACTTGAAAGATAGTAATATAGTCGAAAGTCTTCGGATTAATCGGTATCTTGTTCAATAAATAATCATTTAGATCAATTTTTTCTCAAGATTGAATAGAATTTTAAATATTTGTTTTTTTTTTTTGCCTTTTAAAATAGATTCAATGGTTATCATTAAATAGTGATACATATCACAGATTATGTACTACAATCATGCGGTTAATCTATACTGCGGCTGCATAATTGATATTTATGCACAAATAAACACATCACAAATTAAATTTAAGCTGGTAGTTTTCGTTTTGGTTTACAAAAAGAAAAAAAAGCAATTAATGGTATATAAAAAAAAAAATGACAAAGTTTTTAGAAAGCTTATCACGTAATTTTGCTCAACTTTTAGAAAATGGCGATGATTATAATATAATATTCCACGTGGGTGAAGGAATGGTGAAACAATCCTTCAAAGCACATTCGGTTATCCTGCAATTTCGATGTCCTCATTTATATAATGAATTAAAAAATGTACCTTATGATGGAAATTTCAAAGAGATCTCAAAATTTCACACTTCAGCTAAAGTTTTCGAAATTCTAATCAAGTATGTTGTATTGTTATTTCCTTACATTCCCATATGGTTTATATGATCTAATTTAAAAACTTTTTTACTTTCGTTATTTAGGTATATATATACTGGAATTGCATCCCTTGAACAAATAAGTGAATCTACTATTTTTGACCTCTTAATCACTGCCAATGAATTTGGTCTCGAAGAATTGATAGTACATACTCAAACATATCTAATTGAAAATAACACATCTTGGTTGCAGTCAAGCTTTGACAATATCATTCGGATTAGCTTTAATAATAACTTCAAAATATTACAAACATTTTATATTGACTTGGTTTCTAAGGATCCATATGTTATATTTAAGACAACAATTTTTAAATCTCTTCCGGAAAATGCTTTTTTGGCCATTTTGGAGCAAGATGATTTGCAATTAGAAGAAATTCAAATTTGGGATTTAGTCATTCAATGGGGAATTGCTCAAAATCCTAATCTACCTCAAGATCTTTCTGATTGGACTGATGCAAACTTTTCAACTTTGAAATCCACTCTTCAACATTGTCTTCCTTTAATTCGATATTTTCAAATTCCATATGAAGATATTTCGGAAAAGATCCTACCTTACCAACGGATTCTTGGTCCAATGCTATGGGCTGATATCATTACAAGATTAGAAATTCCAAATGCATCAATCGATTCAAACGTCTTACCCCCTCGTCTTCGTAAATTGGCACCATTCTCGACCTTGATCACTGAAGAACACGCCGCAGAAATTGCATCTCACATAGATCAATGTTCAATTCCTTATGATGTAAAAAAGAATCCTTATGAATTTAAATTAATTCTTCGAGGTAGTAAAGATGGATTTTCTCCAAAAAGTTTTTGGGATTTATGTAATAATGTAGATAACACTGTGGTAGTTTTAAAGGTCAATGGTACAAGTGAAATCCTTGGTGGATACAACTCTAGGTTTTGGTATTTACTTCTTAACATTCCTGGTTATAATGTATCACTCGATAGTTTTATATTCTCTTTAAAAAATGGAAGTTTAAAACATTCGATATTTAGTCATGTAAATGATTCCCTCTATGGAATTTATTGTTCTCATTCTTATGGACCTTGTTTTGGATCAGAAGATTTGATCATGTTTGGTGAGGATTTTAAAAATGAGAAAGAATGTTATTGTAAACCTAATAATTATAAAAAACCTATTAGAAAGATTAGCGACAAGTTTTCAATTGATGAATATGAAGTATTCCGAGTGGTTAGAAAACCTCTAAATCTATAATAATTTATAATACTTTTCGGAATTGAAAATTTTTTTAAAAAAAAATGAATAGATAGATATCAAGAAAAAAAAGAAAAAATTTTTATAATTTATTTTAAATGATTAAAGAATTGATACATTTTTAACCTCACCCACAGACAAGAAAAATTATAAACATTCCTATTCCTATTAATTCAGCTATAACAACATGGTCCAAAAAACTATCATGAATTTTTATGATATTTGCATTATTGCTTTTTAAGTCATTCCTATTGGCCTTCTCTATTGGAGTCGGTTCATGAAGGTTTTCTGTTTCACCAAAATGTGTCGGTTCACCATCATCAACATTCTCCGTCTTGGTAGGAGTGGGAGCAAACAAAGTTTTCGGAAACCTTGCTGCCTCGGAATTGATCCCAAAAGGTCCTACCACACCTGAAAATTCGCCTTCCATCTCATTAACAATACTTGAAGATGAAACTCTGATAAAATATAATTCTATATTTTTAATACTATCAGATTTAATAAATGGAACCACCCACAAATATGGTGATGAATTAGTATTGTTCGTAATGACGGACGAATAATCAAATTTGATTCTTGGAATTGAAACCATGCCGACTTGCTTTGGGTTGTTATATAATACAATTGTGAAAGATTTAAACATAATTTTCATTAATTCATCTTTATCAAATGTTTTATTCGTTAAAGTTGTTAAAGTTGGTGTAGAAGTTTCAAATTTATTATCCAAAAATTTTAACTTGTTCTTATTTTGTTCATTATTCGTATTCTTTAATGATTCTTTGACTAATTCGTAACATTCTTCTAACATTTTCCAAGTAATGTATACGCGATAGTTTGGATCCAATAACGTATTTGGTATTGGTGTTGTTATATTGAAACATTGAGTATCACTTTGTGTCCATCTTGTTGTCGTGTCAAATATCTTTTCTGTATTTTCTGTCGATATTGAAAATATTAGAAAACTATTTAGGATCAGGAAAATGATTAAAAATGTAAACATTTTTTGGTTTGGATTTATATGTAATCATTTAAACAAGAGTTAATGGTTAGAATGAATGAGTATATGAGTGTTAAGAACGAGCATTTGAAAAATTTTGTTGATACATTGCATTATTATATAGGTATTTTTAAAGAAAGGATAACCATTATATTTAATTATATATATCACTTTTACGTTCAAATCACGATGATTTCCTTTATAAATTATTCACATCAATCATTCATTTAAACCAACGCATTAAAACCTTTTTATTATAAACAAATTGATGCTTGTATCGCAGGAATATACTATATCCAATCAAATTTATGGATCGTAATTTTTTTTTTTTTGACGCGAATATAGGCGCGCGGAAATCCCACTGTAATGACATATTTTTGCACCTGTAGGCACGAAATTTTGGCCAATAAATTGGCTTCTGCACTCTAGCAAAAAAGATCTTAGTGGAATTATTTTAACGAAATTTAATTCTATACTTTTGCATTTAAAAACACTCAATAAGTGTTACTGTATAGGTAGAAACAATAACAAAAATCCCTTTAACGGGTTTGCTGCGTTTCTATTCAAGCTATAATCTGTTATTTAGCTTCATATAATTTGGAAATTCATGTCTAATATATACACTAAGCACAATAAATTTAATTTTCTTGGAAAAAAATCTTGTTTGCATAAGCGAAGCCGTTATATACAGTGTTGTCACTGGAAGACCATCGGAAGGTCACTGGAAGTAAACTCAATAGCATCACTGAAACTTTAAGTTCCAGTGACACTATTGACTTTACTTCCAATGGCCTTCCAGCGACCTTCCACCGACAACACTGGTTATATGTCCCTTTCATGTCGCCTTAGTTAATAAATCTAATTATATTAGTAAAATATGATTGAAAAAATTGTTGCAGATAATTAGATTGGATAGTGGAAAAACACACTGGCTTAAATTTATAGATAAAACATTTTTAATGTAATTAACTTAAAGACCTGATATTATTCTTATTTTATTCTTGCTTTCAACTTTTTACTGATAAAAACTTTATATTGTTTCACCGAATAGTTTGACCTATACCTCATCGACTTGAGTTATAGCCAAATAACATAACTTAAATGAGCGTTTCAAAACATGATCTTAAATTTCTATAACTTAAAACATTAATTCATAAATAATTGCAGAATTTATATAATCATTATTTCAAAATTAAACCAACTGTTTTTATATACTTGTTACATTAGTAAACTATTTAAAATTCATAGCTTAATGTTATTATTTTTTATAAATTTGGAATATTTCATATTCTTCTAATAAAAAAAAAGTGTTACCATATTCATTTACAGGTAAATTTCTAATCGGTTTTTCATAACTAATCGTTCGACAGTAACTCTTATAATTACGATTGAAAGTAATAAGGTCATAAAACATTGGCCCGCTATCAGTATAATTAAGAATTGCAGATCCAGGTGATTTTATACGACTTAAAATAGAATCTTGAATATTACCATTTTTCAATGAAAAAATAAAGCATTTATCGCAACTAATAAAACCACGTTTAGATTTATCCCAACCAATAGGATTATACCCACCAAGAATTTCATCAGTGTCTTTAACTTTTATAACTACAACAACATGCGTTTTCTTATCACATAAATTCCAAAATGAATCAGCAGTAAACTTGTCTCTACCCCCACGAAGAAGTAATTTAAATTCATATGGATTATCTTTTATAGAATATATAGTAGTTTTTTCATCAATCCATGAGGAAATTTCAGCTGTATGTTCTTCATTAATAATTGCTGAAAATGACTCTGTTACTCTTGATGGTAAATTTGATGTTAAAATTACACGAGGAGGAAGAATGGTTGATGATATTGGTTGATTCGGGTTTACAATTCTTTTCATTATATCTTTCCAAAGATTTTTTTCTAGAATTTGTTGATATGGTTGTACATTGTCGATAATGTCATTACCAGATATTTGAAAGAAACGGATAAGGGGTAGGCAATTTTGTAAAGTGGTCTTTAAAGCCTGAAAGTTTTCACGAGTCCAGTCATCAGGATCTGATGGTAAGCCCGGATTTTGTGCAATACCCCATTTAATAACGAAGTTCCAAATTTTCCCTTCATCAATTTGTAAATCATCACGTGTTATAAGAGAGACTAATATATTTTCTTGAAGTAAAGTAAAATCTTCAGAGTCAAAGATTTTACTCGGATATTTTACCACAATATTGCTGCACCATTCTTGTAAATTTTGAAATTGGCTACTTTGAAAACTTTTTTGATAAACATTATTAAAATGTAAACGAAGCCAATGAGCTTTCTCTTCAATTAAATGTGTTTCAAGAAGTTTAACCAATTCTTCAAGAAGAAATTCTTGAGCAATGAACATGAGATCGAATAAAAATGATGTATCATGGTTTTCTAGAGTAACTAGTCCTCCATAAATATATCTTCATTAAATTAATAAAGTTAATATTTAATTCTAGTTTTATTATTATTATTAAATCATATAAATAAAATATCAAATAGCTTACTTTATAATAACTTCAAACTGCTGAATTGAGATATTCTTCAAATGAATTATTTTTATGTTATTTTCATCTTTCTTGGCGTTCGTTAATTTATCACAAAGATATAAAGATCTATATCGTAAAATTACTGAATGGGTCTGGAATTCCTTAATGTTTGATGATTCACCAACTTTAATAATTACATTAAATTCTTCTTTATCGTTAAGAAGTTCAAGATAATCGTTTGAAAGTTTTTCGAATAATATTTTTGTCATTTTTATAAACTATTAAATCTTACGGATATTTGATAGAAATTATCGTTATATAACGATAATCGATGTAATACAAATTCCGTAATAGGAGTGAATATACATGCACTTATAAGTTTATAAAAAAAAAAAAAACTTCAAAATTTATTTTTTTCAATAACCTGTCCTAACACGAAACAAAGACAACAAAGACAACACCAGCACTTGCTTACTCCTAACTATTTGAAGGTTTACTTGCAAAAATTAAAGAATCACTACAGCGATGTATCACCTGGTTAACCAAATGTAGGATCAGGTGTAACGTGAAATCGAAGTGATTGAGGGTCGGCTAAAGCGGAGTTAATTCAAGATATGATCTACATACTGCATAAATTATATTCTTGATATTCTATATAACCTACTAACCTAACAACATCAAAAAGGCAACTCTAAAACTCACTCTGCTTTAGCCGACTACATGATTGAAAAATTAAGATTTTTGTAAATCGTTAACGTTAATAAATTTTCTATCTAATAAATTTCTTTGAGAAAATTTTTGAATTTGTTGAAAGTTGGATACTTTAAAAGTTTAGTAAAAAAGTAAAATTTTAATGTAATCTAACAAATTTTCTGAAATTAATAAATTTTTAAAAAGAAAATTGTAAGTTTTTTAATATTTTAATATGTTTTAAATCATTTTGAATAAAATTTATATTAAATAATTGTCTTAATAAGTTGAGCATTTTGATTTAGAAAAGAATATTAATATATTTAGTAAAGTTTAAATAAATTAGAAAAAAGTAATTTTTTTTTTTGATGTTAAGGTGATCTTTTTGGTTTTTTGACTTTTATTAATGATTTTTTTGATAATATGATTCTATAAACTACTATAAGAGAGCATATAATTGACCACATGTATAACTTTTCTATATTACCTATTTAAGGAGTTCACTTAAAGATTCTTTACTAATTGCTATACCTAACACTTCTGCTTGGATGTTCTACTTTAAATCTTTTAAACCTATAACCTGTGTTAATATCATTGAGTTATACTTAGATGCTCAGATTATCATATTAACTTTAAAATTATTTTATCTTTAAGATAAATCTTTAGAGTCTTTTGTACTTATTTTTATAGCTGACTTAGATATCATTATAATAGAATTATATTATTTAACTATTATACTCTTGTAGAGTTTATACAAACTCTAGCATCTACTTTATAGCATAATTTCAGTACTTTAGTATACTTCTATTTTTTTATTTGTTCTCTTATTAGATTTTTAATTCAAATAGTCTATGTAAAACTAAAATTAATCTATCAGTATATTAGATTGATTTAATGTTTTTTTCTTTTGATTCAGTTTAGTAATCTGATTGGTGGTATCTTCAAGACTTCTAATCTGAAAGTATTTGTCTATCTGACTACTATGACTAGGTAATATAATCTTGATATCTATTTTCTCAAACTAGTCTTTACAGTAAGGTTATTAAAGATCTGATTACCTCTTTAGTCAAGTCTTTTCAAATAAACTTTTTGTTATTTAAATTTAACAGATTTACAAGATTACAAAAACTTATCTAGTGTTTGTACTGCTTAATTAGTTAGTTTGTATTCTTCTGTATAGATAGTTTACAAATGCCTTATAATCTGTTAGTTATGCTAGTGCAACTGCTATTATAGATATTCTAACTTAATTATTAGTAATAGTTGTCATAATACAAATATTATATAGATAATTATTCAAATTTTTGTTATCAATAGGATTTGAACATCCAATTTATTACTTGGGAGATTGACAACCTGACTACTTTACTAGGTTGCCATACTCTTTAAAAAAGTAATTTGAAAATATATAAGTTTATAAGTTATATAATAGATAAAATTTAATAAAAATAATTTAAATAAAATAAAAAATTAAATAAAATATTTTATTTTTTTGATATTAAAATAAGATTTTGTTTTTATTAATAATTTGTTATAAAAACTATATAAGTTAATATAGGCCAAAGTCAATTTACAAATTTTTTACAAGAATGAAATTCAGACTATAACCAAAATTATTATTTAATTTATCTAATTTATCTGCAATCTAAACCTACTAAAATGATTAAAACTTATCTAGATTTGATAATATAAAATATAATTAATAGAAATACTATAGTTTATTTATTTATTTATTTTTTTTAAATATTAACGATGAGGTCATGCCTTTAACTTTATTGAAATTCAATTGAAGTTTTTATAAAGAAA